AGATATTCAACTTTAACCTTTGGTAGAAATGCATATGCCCTTCAACTAAGCCCACTGCTTGATTCAGTAGGCTTACCTCACCCTATCTCTCTCCTTCTCTTCATCAATCCCTTCTCTCCTTCTTCTTTAGCTACACAGTTATGCTACTTGGCCTCCATCAGAAAAGTTCAATCACCGCTATTGTTCGCTTTGGTCAGAGGCGACAATTTCCCAAGAGACAGAATTGAGAATACTCATCAGGAACTCACGTCCACTAGCTGCGTAGCAATGCTTAGAGGTAAGTGGTCGCTTCCTCCAACCCTTTGTATACACTGCACCTACTGTATCGCATTAGCCGTTTACGTCTCTCTTACGTGCATTCACAACCACCAACTCAGTAGTCGTGGTGACCTATATTAACTTACCCAATGGCTTTACTAGTTGCCTATCCAGCTTGAGAAACACTAGGTTACGCTACACTAGACCTGGCTTGACTTGATTGCACTAGGGGAGATGCCTAAGCTAGATTATGATAACCTAGAAGAGGATAGGATAAGGTAGGCTGGGCAGGATTATCTGCTCTTTCATACATAATTCATAGCAGCCCCCATGCTCGACCATTCGAGGCGATGCCACCACTGCCTCAGTTGACACACCAAATCGACTGGATAGAATCTCAGGCCACGTACAGTGAGGCCTTTTTCTTCTCTCTTGTAGATATTGGGGATCAATGTACAATGCCCCAATTCATCGCCTCTTCTGTGAGTATGTCCGTCTCCCCTAGTACTACCTATGCTCTCAAGAGTTGACTTTTGCATTATACCCTGCCATGGCTGCACCCTTTACATTAATCCATTCCTAGCATTGCAGTTACGTCAGAACATCTAGCTTCTCTGTCTTTATCAGGCTCCTCCCCACACCATTACTTTCTTAAATCCAAATCCAGTTCTTCCGCATCTCCTTCTCCTACCCTGTCCTCTGCCAACACCCTTTAGGCAGGTTCCATTCATCCCATTATTTAATGATTTCGAGATATACACCGCAGATCAGAATAGGTATAACGTAGACAATAACGTGTAAGCAGGTGCACCTTCCTCCCTAGTCTACCCCTCTATTTTAAGTGTGTATCTCTGTCTGCCTGTCTGTCTGTCTGCCCGTTTAAGTTTATGTGCGTGTCATTGCCTATTACCTTCTTATGTCCTTTCAGACAGACTCCTTAAATGCTGTGGCATGGAAATGGACAAGGATGTGCATGTGTATGTGGATGTGCATGCGTGTACACTCATCTCACGTACTCCTCCTCCTCCTCCCACTTCGCAACCCGACTTTCTAGTCCACCAGACATGTTCCATTTTGGGTTAAGTAATATCTCCTTTGATCGTTTGTTTGTTAACTGGTTTGTTGTCCACTTATTTGATTCTACCTTTTCACTTCGTCAACACTCCATCTCTCACCCACAAACCCATCCACCAACACAGCAACACACTCACCAGTCAACCCACTTACACATTCACTCATTTCTCTTACTTCGTTGCTTTTATCTCTCCTTCAGTTGGAAGTGGATAACTCGTGGTGGGAGCAGAAATGTCTCCAAAGGCCGATAATACATTCTATTCAAGGAACAACTTCGGGGAAGACTGGTGGACTGCTGCAGAGTAGGTGTAGTGGGTGGCATGAATGGGTTGGAGGAATTGATCACTCACCCCTAAACATTGCTACTCAGCTATCGAACTTGAGTTCCTGATGAGTGTTCCTAAACCTGTCTCTTGGTGAATTGTCACCTCTGACCAGGGAGAACAATAGCGGTGACTGAAACCTTCCGATGGAGGCGAAGTAACATAACTATGTAACTGGAGGAGAAGAAGGAGAGGGGGGGTTAAGATAGAGAAGAGGAAAGACAGGACGAGGGAAGTCTACTAAATCGAGCATGAATCAATGGACTTAATTAAAGGGTGGATGCATCTCTACCAAAGGTTGAAGTTGAATATCTGTGCACGGTGCCATCTACAACGTCATTTGCTTTCTTCTTTTGCAAATTTATTCATCTACCTACCTTTTAACCTACTTACCTACCTACGTAGCCATACAAATGAATAGAATATAAAACAATTGACTAATTTGGGGGAAATATGCATGTCTTCCAAACGATATGCCTGAAGAAGATCATCCTAATTGTCCCTACACAAGTTGAAATGACTGGACTAATAGCTGAGCCAATATTGAAAGGTTGAATGGACATGGATGAGGAGGGAAAGCAAAAAGGGTAAAACTGGGAAAAAGAGGAGGCGAAGGTAGAGGTGGTAGAATAACTTTCGTCTGATTGCTACGACTTTCATCTGTTATACTCGTTTTGATCTTCTGACGTCTCTGAAGCGGCAGATTGGAGGGTTAGGAGCGACGAGGAGACGGAGAGGAAGAGAGAGGCGGTAAAAGGGGGACCAATGGTGAAGACAAAGCGAAGCGGTAGGAGGACGTTGATGATGAACTAAATGGTGAGAATGCCAACAATGTGCAGAAGTGCGAAAAGTAGCGGAAAGCATTGTAACGTGCAGTTCAGCATGGCTGGCGGTTGGTTGTGTGAATCAATTCCTCGTATCACCTGACACGTCTCTGATTCAATCGGTGGCATGTGTCGCGTGATGTCTCGTGTTGCAGTGTGGTGTCAACTCCGAACAACATTCCATGTCGATGG